TGCGGATTAAGGAAAGAAGTTGGTCTAAGCTTCTAAGCTTTGAGCCGACCTACAGATATAGCGGTCGTCGAAAAGCCCGAGTGACCGATTTCCTTCTACAGGAAGCACCTGAACCGGACCCAAACTTGCCCGAAATATGACTTGTCCCACTAAGAGCTGAAGAAGAGATGGCGAAGAAAAGCAGAGTGAGGGCCCTTCTGACCGCAACAACTAGGGCCGAAGTGCAACCATCCTTAGAAATGCAGCCTGCCGTTGTGGCCCTCCCTTCTCAGCAACCTTCTTCATCTCGCCCTTCCAAACGTGCCCGATCTACATCGACCGAACAGCAACTTGTCGATGAGGTTGAATCCATCCCCCAAAGTCCTCAACCTACCCTCCAACCGGAGCAAACTGACCGAGCAGAATCTTCGAAATGGGCTCCGCAGCTAACCTTCAACGACCGAGACATCAAAGCTTCTGATTCGGTTGTTGCTGAAAAAGATCATCTATTGGCTTTTAATCTGGCCAAAAGTGTGTGCCTCCCCAAGGACATGGAGCACCACCTCAAGCAATTGAACACCGAGATGAAGTCCATCCGGTCTACATCGAAATCCATGATATTGGTAAGTAGTTCTGTCTTTTTTTTTTTTTTTTTTTTTTTTTTTCCATATTTCTCTTTATTTTATTTTTTAATTTTGAAACTATTTTCAATATTTAGAACCGTTTTTGTGTTTTTCCTTTCCTCTTAGCTGGTGTGAATGTTTTAATGATGAGCAGTTATTCTGCACATTTACCTCGGCAGAAGAAAAGAGCTCAACTATGTCTAGTCTGAGACATCGTGTACTTCCTCCTCAGTTGCTACTGAAGTGGCCAAAAGAAGCAACATTTTGCTTATGGTTACTGCATCCTGACCCAAGTAGTAGGCCAAAAATGAGGTAACTTCTCACTTCATACCATGTATGTATCTCGTTTCATATATCTATTCTGTCTCTTACCACAGTAGTAGGAACTTGCTGCATTGAGGCTTGTACATGTGGTGTAGGATACAGGACAGTATTAGTGTTTGTAGAATCACTGTCGACGTCTTTCATTTCGGTCAATGAATGCTGAAATGTTTGTATGAGTTATACTGAGTTCTTCTCCTAGCTGATTTGATTCTTAGCTCAACTGGTAGTATAATTCCAAGATGACATTAGTCCTGCTCTTGTCAGGGGCCAAGTCCGTATTAGGGGTGTTAAAGTCAATTTCCTTTTCGGTGCATTCATTTGCAGTTTCAAGGAAGTAAGAATATGGCTTGACATATCTATACTTAGGAGTACCATCTTTCTTTTGTTGTCGCAGTAACGATAACTTATAAAAGAAGAAAACCTCAATCCAGTGTTCCTTCCTGATATGAGGTGCTGGAGGCTTGGATTGGATAGACTCCTTTGTCACCTTCATTTTCAGAAAGTGGCTTTTCCCAAACTCCAACATGTGTGCTTGCTATTGGCGGTCTAGATTTTTATAATTGCAGCAAGCAATAATTTGTATTTGTAACTTCATGAAGAATGTGATGTAGAGTATAAGAAGCTCATAGAAGGTTAAATTCAGAAAAGTGATGATACATGGACATTGGCATGATTTTATAGAGAAACTGATAGAAATCTTCTATAATTAGGTTTCTAGTATTATTAGAGTCATATTTTATTATTATTATTTTTTTGTTTTCTAGGATTTTTAAGATTAGGGGTATTTTGGTAATTTTATATTTACTAACATTGGTTATATGGGTCGGCCATGGGTCGTTTTGTGGGTCAAGTTATTTAATTGAGTTTTATTTATGTTTCTTATTTGGTTTTAAATTAGTTTTGGAAGTCTAAGATATTATAATAGTTTTTTTTTTTTTATTCTAGTTGGTTTTGGAAGTCTCTAAAGTCTATATAAAGTCATGTAATGCCTCTAATTCAATAGAGTTGATATTTTATAAAAAGTTGAGAGTTTTGAAGCTTTTTTAGGGTTTGTGTGATGCAACCCAACTCTAGGTGTGATGCCTAAGGGATTCTAGGAGTGATTTCTAGTTTTCTTCATCTTTTTCTCTTTTTCTATTGCCTCTCTTCACAGATTACTACTTCCAGCCCATAGGCAGTCTTTTTTCTGTCACAAATTCTTGTTTCCTTAAGCCCAAACCATTCATAACCAAACCTTAACCATCCCTAGCGTTATTTCACTAAACCTAACCCTAAGTTAGCTTAAAACTTGCTTCAAACCTGTGTGTTCTGCATCAGTTCCCTTGGTTGGAAAAAACTCGACCTCGAGTTTTGAACTGTTAAAGTATAAGCAGCCATAAACTTTGAAATTGCATCCGCGACTTCATGTTAAAATCTTTAAGTTGTTGCTGCCTTTTATTTGCTGGAGATAGGAACAAAAATTTTGATATATTGATCTTGTCCTTCATGATACTAAATATGTTGGGAATGACAAAATTAATAGAAGGAATTGAAACATTCTTGAATTGATCCAAATTTTGGGCTGCAAAATTCATTCCACGCATTCTGTTCTTGTTTGGCTCTATTGGAGAGAATGTAGGCAACAAATTGGTGACTTGTAAAGCCATATTTTGCTCAGCACTAGCAGCTGGTTGTGTCAGTTCTTTAGTCCCTACAACTCCCATAGCATCTAATTCCTCGCTTTGGACGCTAGCCTTTTCTTGAGTAATAACTAGATCTTCTTGAGGTGCTTTTGGATCATCAATAAGTGCCTTGTTATCCTTCAAAATCTGGTCATCTTTCGTTTTGGGCAAAATTGATTGTTTTCTTTCACTTTTGACTTCAGTCGCACATGTTTGACAATAATTTTTGATTTTGGTGTTACTTGTGATGCATGTCTCACACAATTTTGTGGTTGTTGTAGCCAATCCTCCTTTTGTAGTAGGCTTCAAAACTGTAGAATTCTCCCTAAATTCAAATTGCATAGCCGTTTCAATAGCATCTTCGAGGTCTTCCAAATATGCATGAGACATCTCTTCTTTAATTACAGATCTCAACCCACTTTTAAAACGAGCAATAGTCATCCGTTCACTTTCTTCCACTCCAGATTTGATAATAATTCCTTGTATTTTCTTGTGTAATCAATTACACACATATTACCTTGCTTAAGAGTATACAATTGATCAAGAAAAGCATCTTGAAGATCCCTCAGATGAATATTTTCTCTAAGAAGCGCTTTACCTGCTTCCCAAGTCAATCCACTTGTATTAGATCTCCCACAATGTGAGAACATCATGGCGAAACCTTCAGCTCTGATACCAAACTGATGCAGTACACGTAGGTTTGAAGCAAGTTTTAAGCTAACTTAGGGTTAGGTTTAGTGAAATAACGCTAGGGATGGTTAAGGTTTGGTTATGAATGGTTTGGGCTTAAGGAAACAAGAATTTGTGACAGAAAAAAGACTGCCTATGGGCTGGAAGTAGTAATCTGTGAAGAGAGGCAATAGAAAAAGAGAAAAAGATGAAGAAAACTAGAAATCACTCCTAGAATCCCTTAGGCATCACACCTAGAGTTGGGTTGCATCACACAAACCCTAAAGAAGCTTCAAAGCTCTCAACGTTTTATAAATATCAACTCTATTGAATTAGAGGCATTACATGGCTTTATATAGACTTTAGAAATTTCTTAAACAAACTTAAATAAAAAATGGAAACCACTATAATATCTTAGACTTCCAAAACTAATTTAAGACCAAATAAGAAATATAAATAAAACTCAATTAAATAACTTGACCCACAAGGTGACCCATATAACCCATGTTAGTAAATATAAAATTACCAAAATACTCCTAACCTTAAAAATCCTAGAAAACATAAAAAAAAATAAAAAAATAAGACTCTAAAAATACTCGAAACATAATTATAGAAGATTTCTATTAGTTTCTCTATGAAATCATGCCAATGTCCAAGTATCATCACTTCTCTGAATTTAGCCTTCTTTGAGCTTCTTATACTCTGCATATTTGGGTGATAAGACAAAGTCAGTGAATCCTTTGTTTTACAGGATGCATTTCCTATGATCAATTACTGTTTTCTCTATGTATTCTAAATAATAAGAAAAATAATAAATAAATAACCTCTGCTCTTTCAGCTTGGGTTTGCCTAGGTAATACGTTCAGTCTGCACGTTTTTACTTGTTTTCAGTGTGGATTTTCACATATTTGGTTGTGTGAATTTAGTTTTGTATATTTCCAGAAATTTGGTATTGGTATTTTGGCATAATGTAAAGTAGAATGCATTGATACTTTTTGGCAAGGCTTTAGACACTGCTGAAGGATGATATCAAGGTACCCTATCAAACATCATGTTTTCGCAATTTCTGTGCCACATCAAAATTTTCCTTCTAGATTCTTGGTCACTGGAAGTTGGTTATGAGCTACTGTTGTCTTAGCATTTATCATAGGGAAACCATGCAATTTTTGGTTCTCTTGGCATCCTTCTTTCAAACAAATGTGTCAACTCATTAATTGCAATTCTGGGCAGGAAGTACAAACAAGGCACTCTGTGGCCTTCAGGAAATTGCTTGGCTGGTGGGGACACCAAATGAATTTCTTAGAAGTCGTCTTACCCTCTATTCATTTTATGTTCTAATTCATGCACCATTGGCCATAATGATGTATATTTCTTGCGTCCTAGTCGCTTCTATTTGTGGATAACTGTCCCTGGTGTTGGGGTATAAAAGTGTCTGAAATGGTTTACCAATAATGTGTTGCAAGTTGTTGGATACATTGTTGTCAAATCCTGAATCAAATCATGAATCGTTTTGCTAAAATAATGAGTTGTATCGAATCGTGAATCGTAAGATTCATTTTATTTAATGTAATATACAATATGTTAAAATCCACCTACTACACACCTACCACTACCACCTACTACACACTCACCTACTTCACCTACTCTCCACCTACTCCTCACCTACTACACACTCACCCTCTTCTATATATAGGAATCATGAATCATTGTAATAGATATCAATATACAATCAATCAATAATACATAATTCATTCTCTCCATTTCTCTATACATCAAATTTAACATGGTATCAGAGCGGGTTTAGAACCTAATATTCTCGCTTCACCGGCGGGCGGCAACCTCACCTTAGCCGCCCGCCGGACCTCCACCTAGTCCCCTAGAATTTTCTACACATACCTTCCCTTTCCTGCATCTTCCAACTCATCAACAAAATCAACACAGATTTGTGCAACTGTAAGCAAACGATCCAGAGCCTCTTCAATCAACAAACGATGGCCTTCCTCGCCTGAATCTGAAACTCCGATGATCGCAGAATCAAAGGCGTTTACTAAGCAAAGAGAGAGCTCGTCGAGTTCGTCTTCATCGGAAAGTTCTCAGGCGGAGGTGGCTCATGGATGCACGCACTGCGCGTCGGAGAAGCCTCCACAGTGGCGAACTGGACCAACTTGTCTCCACTCCTGTTTACAATACCTCTTGTCTTCTTTCAAGCTTTCTAACACCCATGTCCTGCACTTCCTCTTGCTGCGTTTTCTTTACACCATGATTTTCGTATTCACTGAATATGACTCCACCAGAACATTATCCTTCCTCAATTTTGATGAGGTGAAGAGTCAACCTAGGTCCAATCTCTTGAAGCTTGACAGCACTTTTTGTAGAAGCTCGGTTAACCCTACCAAGATCACTTGCTAGACTTACAGTTGCCGCTTCCTCATCTGCTTCGCTTTCTGATCCATAACCAGCCTTGGTGACAAAGTCGCTCACGTCTTGAAGACTTCTTAAATCAGGAACTTGATGGTTCTGCACAAACTTTTCTTTTTTTTTATTATTTTACTCCATCTTTTGAAAACCCACTTAACTTTCTTTTTCTTTTTTTATTATTTTACTCCATCTTCTTTGAAAAGAAACCGACACACAACTTGCTTTGCACATGTCTCTCCTCTCTCTCTCTCACTTTACACCCACTCTCTCTGGTCCCTTTCAATCTCACATTTCTTTTTTTTTTAATATATATATATATATTAAAATAATGCATCATAAAACCAAAACCATGTGCACCCACATTCTTTCACACTTTTGCACCCACGTTCTTTCCTTCTTTTCTTTTATTTAAATATATATATATATATATATTTATTATAATATATTTCCACTACTCCTACTTTTATTTTATTTTATTTTATTTTATTTTTTTTATCTTTCTTGTTCCATCAATTTTCCTTATTATACAACTCGTGAGCATCACCCTATCTTCCGTAAAAAAAAAAAAAAAAAAAGAAGAAGGAAAATTTGGTAGTGGTGTAGTGGGTTAGGTTTAGTGGAGTAGGTGAGGTGGTAGTGGTGTAGTGGGTTAGGTTTAGTGGAGTAGGTGAGGTGGTAGTGGTGTAGTGGGTTAGGTTTAGTGGAGTAGGTGAGGTGGTAGTGGTGTAGTGGGTTAGGTTTAGTGGAGTAGGTGAGGTGGTAGTGGTGTAGTGGGTTAGGTTTAGTGGAGTAGGTGAGGTGGTAGTGGTGTAGTGGGTTAGGTTTAGTGGAGTAGGTGAGGTGGTAGTGGTGTAGTGGGTTAGGTTTAGTGGAGTAGGTGAGGTGGTAGTGGTGTAGTGGGTTAGGTTTAGTGGAGTAGGTGAGGTGGTAGTGGTGTAGTGGGTTAGGTTTAGTGGAGTAGGTGAGGTGGTAGTGGTGTAGTGGGTTAGGTTTAGTGGAGTAGGTGAGGTGGTAGTGGTGTAGTGGGTTAGGTTTAGTGGAGTAGGTGAGGTGGTAGTGGTGTAGTGGGTTAGGTTTAGTGGAGTAGGTGAGGTGGTAGTGGTGTAGTGGGTTAGGTTTAGTGGAGTAGGTGAGGTGGTAGTGGTGTAGTGGGTTAGGTTTAGTGGAGTAGGTGAGGTGGTAGTGGTGGCAGGTGATGGTAAATTCTAACAACTGCCTCACCCCAGAATGGTACCGGCACAAAGGCAGAGAGAAGAAGAGATCAAGCTATCTCAAGGAGATGGCGGTGTTTACCCTTAGCACAACCATTTTGGGCAGGGGTATTAGTACAAGAGGTTTGGTGAATGGTGCCCAATTTGGCCAAATACTCACAGAATTCAATTTTAAAGTATTCCCCACCCAAGTCAAACCAAAGTATTTTAATGGTGGCCCCAAACTGTGTAGTGATCATAAACTGAAAGGTACAATATATCTGGTAGAAGTTAGATTTATGAGCCATAAGATAAACCCAGGTATAACAGGTACAATCATCAACAAAGGACACCTAATACGTATAACCCCTTTTAGTGAGAACAGGAGAAGGTTTCCTGACATCAGTATGTACAAGAGAAAAAGGAGAAGCAAAAATAGAAGTATTGTTATTAAAAGGTAAAGCTATCATTTTAGGAAGTTTACATCCTCGACACTCATTAATTTGACTAGAAGAAACTTTACCTAACAATCCTGACTGAGCTAAAGACTGCAAGTGGTCAACAGACAAATGACCTACCAGACCCATTAGCAGTATTGATAGGAATAGGAAGGGGGAGGGGGGATACGGTTTTGGAGTAAGAAAATGTGAGGAGTTATTTGATGAGAGGCACCAGAATGAAAAAGCCAGACAGAGGAAGGAATACTTGAAGAGGACCTAAGCAAACCTGAATGAGGAGAGGTGAGAGCAGACGCAGATGAAGATGACTGAGGTGGACTAGAGATGCTAAAAGTGAGCAATCTAGGCACTCAAAAGGAAGCTATATAACTAAATATGTGTGTGATATTATATTTATGTGTGAAGTAATATGAAGCTATATTTTTCTTGTCCTTGTGGCATTAGTGTCATACTTTAAGAGTTGGTATGGTGGCTTATTCATGCTTCATATGATGTGCTCTATATTAGTTCATACTTCTTTATCCATCTTTATGTTAAGATCATTGTTGTTATCCAAAGAATGGAGCAAATTCCTATATTGAACATCTTAATTACCTTTATGAGAAAAAAAATCTCCATTTAAATCTCCATCTTAGTTACTTGTTTACAATTCTTAGTGGATCATGGTATCTTGGTGATCATGGGGAATCTGCTTTAAACCGTCCGCTATGCTCCCACCTTCAAGAATATGCTTTAATAGGAATCACACAAAGGTAGATTAAAAACCTCTGGTAAAATGCCTGCTCGTAACCCAACAGATAAAGTACATGACATAGTTTGTTTTAGGGATTGGTGACTTACCCATTTAGTGACTTCTGCACTAGACGTTCCCCAAATGGATTTACTTTAAAACTAAAAGTTCTTGTGGAAAATTTTCCTTGTTTATTTTATTTTATGATCATGTTCCATCTAGCATTGAATTTTTTCCATATTCCATTGACAACCAGCCACAACCTACACTTCCAATCAATGCCTTCTTCCATGACGTGCTCGGTGGACTGGGAAACACGGAGGCAACACCGGCAAGGGCCGCCCAAGACGGTGGCAAGAAGAAAAGACCGGCGGAATAGGCGAGAAGAAAAATCTCACTGTTCCGATTTGTGTTGGTTGTGTTTTGTTTTGTTTTGTGTTGTTTTATTTTTATATTTTTTTTTATTTTTATTTTTTTTTTATGGTGTAAAATGCGGATCGGGGTTGATCCCCGGCATGAAGAAATAACAAGTTTGTAAAATGTTGTTTTTTTTTTTTTTTTTTTTTTTTTTTTTTTTGTGGAAAAATAAAAATAAAAGGAAAGAAAACAAGGGATAAAGAAAATAGATAAAAAATATTGGTAGATGGATTATATAAAAAAAAAAGCAGTGTGGGAAATGAAAGAAAATAAAATAAAGAGTTAAAAAAACAGAAGTGGGTAAATCTGTGGGCTCGTATGTGGAGGTAAAAAAAAATATGTAGATATATAGATAGAAAATAAAAGAAAGTGGAAGAGAATGGAAACACGCTGGAAAATGTGGATCAAAAATAAAAATATATATATATAAAAAGTAAAAGAGAGTTGAGTGGATGAATAATATAAAAATAAAAAGAAAAGAAAAGTGGGGGACAAAAGTTGGGCGGTGGTAGAAGCAAAACAATAAAGAAATAAATAAAAAGAAACAGACACTGTTATTCATGTGTATGGATGGTGCTGTATTGAATGGATCTGGGTGTAAAAGTCTCTTTATTGCTCTCTCTTTCTAGAGCAATCAATGGCTGATCACGACGATTCCTCTCCGCTCGACCAGCAGATGCTTTCGCGGCGGAAGGCGGCAGTGGCGAGGCGTGTTCCGGTCTGGAGTAGGAGCAGGGCATCCTCCAGTAGACCCAGGTGGCAGCATGCTTGAACCAGAACCGAGAGAGGGGGTTGGGAAGAAAGTGGGTCGAGTGAGAGAAAGTAGAGAGAGAGAGGAACAGTAAACACGCGATTTCTTCCCTCCGTCGCTCGCTGAGTAGATATGACGAAGGTCGGACATTTGGAGGAGGAGATTGACTGCAACAGCCTCATTGTCAGAGACATGAAAAGGCAGTGACCATGAAGCAGAACTCAACGAATCAATGTTTACAATTTCGAATTCAAACGCCATATTATTTCCACCGGCAAAATGGATCAAATTCTCTCTAGTGAGGCCGAGCTCAAGCTGATCATGGGTTGAGGGAGACGCGAACGCAGTGATTTTCAGTGATGGAGCCCCATTACTTCTCAAAGCAAGCTCTTGCATCAAAGAAGCCCACTGCCCACCATAACCAATGTCGAAATCTATAACATGAAGTCGATCAAACCCTTCTAAAACTTCAAGGAGTACTTGGTTACAAGTAAAATGGGCAAATTGAATGAAAGGTGAGATTTCTGAGAATGACATTTCTGAGAATGACTTGTAAGCACCAATCTTGAGAATGAGATTGAAAGGCGAATTGGGCGGCACCGGGTTCATATTGCTTGTATGGAGAATGAATTGCAGAGCCTCTTTACAGAAAAAAAACAGCCCTATTGAAAGGCTTACCGATGGGAGAGAGCTGGTGATTGAGCCGATGGTGGCTCGATGTCGCCATTGATGAACAAATATGTGTGAGGCAGAGAAGAGTTCAGCTATGACTTTCTGGCAGTGGAGTGAAGGTACGTGTAGAGGTCCGGCGGGCGGCCAAGGCGAGGCTGCCGCCCGCCGGTGAAGCAGAATTTCTAGCTTCTCAACCTTGCTCTGATACCATGTTAAAAAAATAATGTATTATTGATTGATATTGATGTATTACAAGATTGATTAATTACAATTCCTATACAATCTATATATAGAAGAAAATGTGGTAGTAGGTGTAGTGGAGGTGATAGTATATGTTAATCTAACTCTCATTTTGGTCAAAATTGTTTTAGTAGAATACCAAAACCAAAAAAAAAAAAAAATGGCACACATATATTCAAAACAAATAAAAATTAAACAACATATTTGGTGAGTTGCCGAAGGAGGCTGGAAGAGGTTATCAGAGGGGAAGGGGGGAGTGGTCACAAAGGGTTGCCAAAAAGTGGAGAAGGGGTTTGCCGGTGCAGGGAAGAGGAAATGAAAATTTGTTTCGAAAACAATAGAAAACATTTTTTTTGTGTTTTTGCATTTTTCCACAATGGCTGTTTAAATTAAGAAATGATATTTTTTGTTTTAAAATGACTGTTTAAAAAAAAACTCATCCATTTCTGTTTAAAAATTTTGATATCGTATTGATGTTTCGAGAGACTCCAGATGAGGTCATTTGACTGGAACTAGTGTAAAACCTCTGCTTCCAAAATTTTGGTTTAGACTCAAAGCTGAGTCATGTTCAAACTTCTAAATTTCTAAAAATGATGAAGATACTGTAAGTTAGTCATGACAGTAATATATTTCTTGCTTGAAAATTCTTCTGTCCTAGCAAGGATCCTCACATAATATGGAAGCATGTTGCTATGGTGGGCTTCTTTTGAAACATTTATTATCTGTCTTGACATGAGCAAATGAATTATAATGCCAGCATAGTGCCTACTATAAAGCTGATTCTGTAAGTACTGGGGATCAATTTTTATGCTTTTGCTCAAGTGGCCGAGCCTAACTACATTTGAAAAGTTTTCATGCTTCATACTGGTCAGTGACTTCCCAAGTCATTAGAAAGCAGAGTGAGAACATCAAATTGATTAATCCTAAAATTTTGTGAAAGATGATAACATGACCGAAGAACATGGACTATTTTGGCTTGCAAAAAATAAAGAGACTTTCGGATGTATTAAATGCAGAAGTGAAACATGAATATAGAAACATAATGACACTAAATTTTGATAGACAAAGACTTGTTATTATAAAAAGAACCAATACAATAAAAAATATTTTAGTGTGCATGTATACAGTGCATACCACAAAAGCCACCCTCTACCATCACCATTGTTTCCTTGCTATCACCAACAGGTCATTATAAATTCTTCCCCCACTCTGTCTATGACTATGAAAATCACCAATTATCTGTAAAAGTAAAGTAATTCTAAATGCAAAATTTTGAACGCAGGAGTAACTGTAGGTGTTTGATAACTATCAACAGCTCAACACCTCACAACTTGATGGTAGAATGTGTGGACTGAAAACAGAAGCCATCGGGAGAGCAAGAGTGAGCGACCAAGGACCATCCTATTCAACTTATCATTGCTTCGCCTCCTTACTGCCAACCCAATATGGTCATCAGTTCCTCCTCATCATCATTGTCATCATAATTGTCATAAAAATCATCACTATCATCTCCCTCTTCTCCTTCTCCTTCTCCTTCATATGTTGAGACTGCAACATATAATAAAAAATCATATAAAGCACAGGAAAGGAAATTTTATGAAACAATGTAGATTTGGAACTACCAATATCCCAAATCAACAATAATTTATGAGATGAGTGACCTCATTTTTCTATCTTCTTTTTTTTTCCTACGCAACACGCACCTGTACTTTCTACCTTGTCTTGAAATAAGTTTTCATACAAAATAGCCTTTGCTGATTGACTTGAGCCTTCTGCAAGCATGAAGTACTCGGAATGTGAGAGGAAGTATTTGCCACTTCTCATCTGATATGCTGACTCAACACCATCACTCACATTTTGCAAAGGATAGGTAGTGTTCTGGTTGATGACGTGTTCTTCTATTTCACTCTTTGTCGATATTCGCTTCTGCTCTTCTTGCTCCTCGTACATGAAGCTGATCCCACACTCCTTTATGCAGAAAGCAGGACTCCATGCAACCACCGACACACTCACTTCATCACCAACTCCCAGCTGATTCTCAAACTTCCAATGGCTTAACCATGTCATATCTTCTCTGGCACCTGGAATACCTAGGAAAGTTGGGCTATATACCCACTTCAGACCCCTTGTCTTATTGCTGATTTTGATAAAATATGAACTCCAATTCCTAGATTTGGATTCACTCCAAAACCGGTATTTCTTATCCCTGGAACGTGAGTATACAAAGCATGCATTGAAACCTTGCATCTTGAGATTAGGTTGCGAAGGGACACTGAAAGATATCGTGTGTCCCTTAGCCTTATGGCTGAACCAGCCAGGAATCTCATTCCCCGGAAGAGAAGTGCTGAATATACCAAATTCATACAGTCCCTGTGCCAAAGTAAGTGAAAGCATTTAACTCAAAAGTCCGGAGAGAGAGAGAGAGAGAGAGAGAGAGAGAGAGAGAGCACCTGTATAGGACATTTTATTCTTGTTTTTGTCATATTGTTGAACAATTCCACCTCTGTGTTTTCAATGGATTCCAAGTTAAACAAGCCCAAACTGTTGATCATTTCCGGTACAAAGTTTCTTTTTTTTTTTTTTTTTTTTTTTTAAAGAATAATAATAATCATAATAATATAAAGATAGGTGATAACAAAAAATAGTGGTGGATATGATTAAACGGGGCTGGTGGATGTTTTGGGATAATATTTTATAATAGTATTGGAAGTTGTGTGGTGTTGTGTTTGGTGTACTGATCAGAATCCATTAAGGATTTCAATTCATCACCGTTGCTTATTATTCTTCAGCATTCTTCCAAGGCATAAAGCGAACAACGCTTTGATTCCGACTTTCAGTGCTCGAGGATATGCTAGAGGACAGTTGAGGATTCCGACTATTCCTTCGAAAATTTCATCGCCATTGCTGATTTGAGCTCGGATTTCCGGCGATCTCGTTCCGGCGAGGACGATCTCGATGAGTGCAGCTGAGTTAACGCGGACTTCAATCGAGGAATGGAAGATAGCTAGGAGGACTTCACGCGCGTTGTGCGCAGAGATCACGGACCGATTCTTCTCCGAGTCACGAGCGAGTCCTCTGAGCCGTCGAAGCGCCGATAGCCGCGAATGCTTCGGAATCGACACCGACGAGGCTTGACTCAGGAGAGTCCGAACCATGGCTGGATCGGCGGGTTGCTTCGGAGTCTTCGAAGGGTGTGGTTCGGAATCAGAGTGAAGTCGGTAAGCGGGGCTCGGGTGACCGGACACGTGGTATTGCCGGTGGCGACTCAGGACTCGATACTGGTTCGGTCGTAGGTCTGACCGGTGCTCACGGTTACAGGGTCGCGTATGAGCTCGAGCGAGATCGGACACCTGAAGTAGTATGGGATCTGAACCCCCATGTCCAACGGCTCCAAGCTGCTGTGTGAATTCACTGCACAAACGGAGATCAACAAGACTTTGGGGAACTGGGTAGAGGAGATCAACAAGACTTTTGGGAGAGGTCCGGAATGAAGATATGTGTAGAGGTCCGGCGGGCGGCCAAGGCGAGGCTGCCGCCCGCCGGTGAAGCAGAATTACTAGCTTCTCAACCTTGCTTTGATACCATGTTAAAAAATGATAGATGTATTATTGATTGATGTATTGATGTTGTATAAATTACAAATGGTGAGTGGCTCATTATATAGGAGAGGGTGAGTGTAGTAGGTGAGGAGTAGGTGATGGTAAATTGGTGGTAGGTGATGGTAAATTTTAACAATAGATATCAATATACAATCAATCAATAATACATAATTCATTCTCTCCATTTCTCTATACATCAAATTTAACACAATATATATTTATATATAAATAATAAAAAAAAGGCCCAAATAGTACACATTAATGTGTGTTTGGGAAGGAAAAGATTGAGTACACATCTAATCTTTGGCATAGTGCATATTTATATACATATAAAAATACATACAATATTTAAAATAAAGTAAATTATCAATATCACTAAATTATATATGTATATGCATATAAAACACATATATCAATATAAATAATTAATCTCTTTTATATATCTTCATAGTTTAGTGAAAAATTACGTTGTTTCATGTATTATGTAAACAAAAAAAAAAATAGTACTAAATCGCAGTGAATCACAATGAATCGTAAATTGAATCGTACAATTCACTCAATTTCTGATTCAACAACATGATTCGAATCGTTTCTGTTGAAACTCGTATCGAATCGTATGAATCGAATTGTGAATTGTACGATTCTAACAACCATGGCTGGATATAAATTATGTGTAACTGACGCATGTCTATCCTTCAAAATCATATTTTTAGTTTGGTGAATAATAACAAAAGTTATATTGAGAACTTATAAATTGTAGTGGGCAGGGAAACCTTGGCCTATAACCTTGAGGTTATGGGTTTAAGTCTCGGGGCAACTACTTTGTCTACTATGCCAAAGGTTAGGTGTGTATCCAATCCTTTCCCTCCCAAACACACATTAATGTGTACTAATTGGGCTTTATTTTTTTAGGGAAACTTATACAAGTTTAAGATAACTGTGGATTGAAATGCCAGGCCACTATAAAAACTAAGATATAGATCTTGCACTGTTTAACTTTCAGAGTTGCATTCAATTAGCATGTTCTGTCTTTTGTGATTTTTGGCCTTACATGATAGTTTTTCTTTCATTTTCTCTTACCATGTACATCAGTGAGTTGTTACAAAGTAACTTTCTGAATGAACCAAGAGAGAATATAGAAGAACGTGAAGCAGCAATAGAGCTTCGGGAGGGAATAGAGGAGCAGGAGTTGTTGCTGGAATGCCTTTTGCTGATACAACAAAGAAAACAGGAAGCTGCAGATAAGTTGCAAGATACAATTTCCCTTGTATCTTCTGATATAGATGAAGTTTCAAAGCAGCAGTCAATTCTTTGGGGAAAAGGGTGCTCTTGTCCAGAACTGGGCAAGGATTCCGCTTCTGGTCCCCCTTCAATGGAATTTGTTGAAAATGAAGATTCTAGTTGCTCGGGGTCTAGAAAGAGGTACAGACAAGGGCTTCAGAGTCATAATGCATCGGAATATGGTGGTCATCTACATGAAGGTCAGAATTCAGAAGCTCCAGCTGAGAATCAAGGAAGTATTCTCTCAAAAAGTTCTCGATTGATGAAGAACTTTAAGAAACTGGAGTCAGCTTATTTTTTGACAAGACAAAGGCCTGTAAAGCCAACAGGGAAATCGTTAACTCGACAGTCTCCAGTAAGCAGTGATGGTAGAGGGTCCATTGTTGTTACTGAAAGAAGTTCTGTCAATAATTTGCCCTTGAATGACCAGTTTAGTGAAGCTAGACAAAGTGGATGGATAAATTCATTCCTCGAGGGGTTGTGCAAGTATCTGTCTTTCAGTAAATTAAAAGTTAAAGCAGATTTGAAGCAAGGGGATCTTTTAAATACCTCCAATCTAGTATGTTCTCTGAGTTTCGATCGCGATGGCGAATTTTTTGCGACTGCTGGCGTGAATAAGAAGATCAAAATATTTGAATATGGCACAATTTTGAATGAAGATCGTGATATCCATTATCCTGTAGTTGAATTGGTCAGTAGGTCAAAGCTGAGCAGTATATGTTGGAATAGTTATATCAAAAGCCAGATTGCTTCTAGTAACTTTGAAGGTGTGGTGCAGGTAGGTCAAGCCTTTCATCTCATTTACTTATAAGCTTTCTGTATTTTGTAATGACAATAAGTGGTTTATCTAACATATCTTCAGGTATGGGATGTTACAAGAAGTCAAGTTTTTATGGAAATGAGAGAGCATGAAAGGCGCGTGTGGTCTGTCGACTTCTCATTAGCAGATCCAACAATGTTGGCCAGCGGGAGTGATGACGGTTCTGTTAAGCTCTGGAATATCAATCAGGCAATTCTATTTTTGCACTTGGTGGATGTCAGCTTTGAAACTAAACGTACTGCAGTCATCTAATTACCATTGCTGTGTAGATTTTATTCTGGATGTATAATTAGTTGTTTCTCTTACATGGGTTGCTACTGCAGGGAGTAAGTGTTGGTACCATCAAAACGAAGGCCAATGTCTGCTGTGTTCAGTTTCCTGTTGATTCTAGTCGTTACCTTGCATTTGGTTCAGCGGATCATAGAATTTATTACTATGATCTCCGTAACACAAAAATGCCACTGTGTACAATGATTGGACACAACAAAACTGTGAGCTACGTGAAGTTCATAGATTCAACAAATCTTGTTTCTGCATCGACAGACAACACACTGAAGCTTTGGGATTTGTCGATGGCCTCATCCCGGGTTCTTGACAGTCCTCTTCACTCATTCACCGGCCACACAAATGTGAAGGTATATATCTATAAATACATACATGTATGTGCACATATATAAATTATCATGGCATGGGTTGAGAGTGCTGCTATATTTTGTTCTGTTCTTATTATCATTGCCTGAACAATTAATGTGCTTATATAAGCGATTTGAAGCAATCAAGCTTATTAGTACAAAATTACTAGCAATAAGTGGTAAGCATTTTTTTTTCTTCTCTTTTTGAAGTAATGGGAAGGGCTTCCAATAGTTGTTGGCTATCTCAATTTGTTGGGATTTTTTTTCCTTTCTAGTTCTTCACATGCTACTTGAGGTATTTTATATATGTTGTACTTTTTATTCATAGAATTAATGTATCAATTTCTTGAGAGGTTGCACATGGGATTGGTGTATTTTGGTATTTTGTTCATACCATTTGTTGATTCTTTAATTTCTTAACTTATCTTGCACCATGGATGTGCACACAAATATTCGAGGAGAAAAAAAGGAAGAACAGCACATTTCAATAATTCCAAGATGGAAGTTAGAATTTCATAGTAACCATAATTGGCTCTTGTATATTTTTTCTGGCAACTTTCCTGGTTTTCACAGACTTGGTCCAGTAAAGAAGAAAAAGGTGATTAGTGAATTTGGATGAAGCTGCCACACACAGTCACATCTGTAGTGAAGATGGACAACTTACGTATCCAGTATTCCTTAGGACAAGAAATTTTTTAACCACTACACATTGACATTTGTGTAAAATTTATGAGCTAAATTATTTGTCTTAGTTTTGAATAGAGTGTAATCTTTATTTATCAAAAAAATTATGAGCTAAATCTTATCTATCAGAAAAATTCGTGTGGTATAACTCAGAGTTGGAAACAGGAAAGGTAAGGAAACGCCACATTCTAAGATACAAACTATTGGGGTAGCTTATATATGTGAATTCCTTGGAATGTGATTGGTTAGTTCAATCTTTTGTAGTTCATTTAAATGAACCGTGTCATATACATGATAAGTGCTCGACATCATGAACAATCTTTAATTCCAAGTCCATTTTACCCGTGTGATTTTGGCTTTGGAACACTTTACTCCCTTGTCATTTAAAATTAGCCAAATTCGCCTCATATGATTTGGACTGAAGGCAATGCTAACTCTGTTAACAGTAAATGTAAAATGACCTTAATAGCCTGTCTTTTTCTCTTTCTTTCTATTGTCTTCTCCTTCTCTTTTATGTTGTACAATTAAGGGTAAATTACACCACCCTCCCCTGAGGTTTAGAGAAAACACAGTAAGCCCCAAAATTTGACATAATTGCATTGATCTCCCTTTTAGTAAGGTTAAATGGACTGAAACTAATGGGGATGGTGTGAAAACACAAAAATAAACAACGTAAAGTATACATTTTCATGTAAAAGAGATAACATTATATTTCAATCATTTCTCCAAACCTCAAGGACTTAACTTAATTTTTAAATCACCCTTAGGGAGGTCAGTGTAATTTACCCTACAATTAATTTTAATTTGACTGCGTATTAACCAATTATGCTTAATTCTCTAACCTAGTTTCTAATTTTTAAATTTTATTTATAATTTAATATAATACTAAATTATTATATATGACACATACATATATGTACAAGTATACACACAAGCAATTAATGGAAAGAATTTGCTTCCCATCCCATTATTCAGACAGTCTTAAATGCATCTATCTAATTGCCATAAGACACTAGTTATGGATGGAAGTTTTAACAGTAGGGAGGGAAAGTGCAAACTGTCAAAACAACATTAAGTGCATTTGGCTGTTTTTAAATAATGGGGGGTAAAGTGCTGCAAGGCCAAATGATAAGTGGATAAAGTGGATTTTGCCCTTTTTTTTATTATTTAATATTTAACAATTCAATTTAACATTTACTGAATGTCACTGTGAAAGGAAAATAATGTTAGTCATTGTGCTAAGTATTATTTCCATGGTATTTATGATAGATAGACAAGAAAATTATTGATAAATTCTTCATTTATCCCTGTATGTTACTGGTCATGTTTGAAATGCATGCATGTTTTGCTTTTGACAATACATACATATATTTTTTTGATCAGCCACAAAGAAGAATTATATTAAAAAGGAGAAAGAGAAATACCAAGGAGGACAAGCAGTCCTCAAAAGCAAAAACAAAAAAACTACAACTCGCATATAGCCTTCCAATCGCTAAGGGAAAAAAAAAAATAGAATTCCCCTAAACGGCGGAGCAACTGAAACCCAAAAAGATGCCGGAAATCTAATTTTTTCCCACATTGAAAAAACATCAATACTTTTGTTGTCAAAGATGCTCGCATTCCTTTCCAACCATATGACCTAGAATAGAGCAAAAACTGCACAAAGCCTCAACACCTTTGCTTTTTTGTTAAGTCCTAAGAAGTGAAAATCAATAGATAGCATTGAACTACATGATTCGGGAGCCACCCAAGCAAGACCACCCGAAGCAAAAAACTGTTGCCACAAACTTCTTGCTACTGGACAACGCAAAAAAAGATGATTCAGATTCTCCCCCGCTCCCTTACACATAATGCACCAATGAGGAGAGAGAGAACAATTAGCCCTCCTCTTTTGAAGGACATCATTGGTCAAAATGCTTCATGAACCAAAAATCATATAAAAAACTTCATTTTGAGAGGCGCAAAAGACTTCTAGGTTCTTTTGTGAAGAGGAAAAAATGGAATATTTGGGGTGTGTTTGGTTTGTATTTTGAGATAAATTTTCAAAAAAAAATTTTGGGGGGGAGAGTTTGGAATTTTTTTTGATTTGTTTAGTTGTATATTTTGAAAATAGTTTTGGAGTTTGAGAGTTTGGAATGATTTGATATTTTGTTGTAATTGAGTAGATGTGTGTGAGAGAAAAAGTGATTGAGAATGAGAGAGGAGAGAAAAAGTGATTGATTGATTGATGTGTAATATAGAGAGAAGTAATTTTAGAATTTTTTTGAGAAAATTTGTAACCAAATTTCCAAAAACATGTTTTAAAACACATATCAAACACACCCTTGACTTCTCAATGATTTTTTTGAAGAAGGATTTGCAAGAAAATACACCAAAACAATGCAAGAGCCAAACCAATTTGTCACCCGAGGAAAGATCCAACGACACATGATCAATGCGAGGCAACAAGGAAGCTAAATCACAAGCCTACCTATCAGTTGTTGGAATTAGGAAATAGTGATATTGTAATTATGGTAGTGTGTATAGAATCTGTGATTGTGTTAATCACAGATTCAATACTTTTTTTTTTAATTTTCGTTTCCTATTTTGTTCGTTTCCATTTTGTAATATTGTTTCATTATAAATACAAGGCTCTACCTCATTCATAGGTAAGCCAAAACAATTCTTTTCATTCTTTTTGGTATCAGAGCCAAAACACAGAAACCCTAGACCACCCCCTCCTCTCTGTTGGCCCCTGTTCTTCATTGCCTAGCAGTTTCTTCATCTTCTTTCTTCTTCCTCCAGCAGCCAACAGACCTCCTTTCCCCTCTAGACCATCCGAAACCATTTACCCTCCCTCTTCTACACCTCGGCAGGACTGTATTACACCTGCCGAGGGCCTTGCTGCTGTCAACCAGGTCTCATCCTGGCCTAGAGTACTTCGACCAGGTCTCCCCCTGGCCTAGATTAGTTCGACACCCTCGTTAGGGTGGTCTAAACCGTTTTTTTCTCTTTTACAGGGTGTAGTGTTGATGCTTTAAGCACTTTTCTGGACCCTTTTTTTTTTTTTTTTTTTTTTCAGGCTACCATGTTTATTCGGTAGCATTTAGCCGTTGAGTTTTTTCCAACTTTTTTTATTGTTTACTCGGACAGTGTTGCTGTATTGCTGTCTATTTCAGCCCTCATCATCTCCCCATGAATAACTCATCTTCTACCATTCCTACTGAGGTATCTACTGCGGTCTCCACCAAACTTGTGCTTGTTCCAAGTATTGATTTTTCTCTTTCCCATCACACTCCTATTCATCGTATTATGAGTGTGATGTTGAATGGGAAGAATTTTGCTGCTTGGAGCTGTTCTCTTAAATTCTATCTTGGGGAAAAGGAAAGGCCCATTGGCTTTTATCTACTATCACCCCGCCAGCTACGACAGTCCCTATACGTGTTCAGTGCAATATCGATAACTGCACTATATTGGGATGGATGTTCAATTCCATGGAAGATCAGATTTATCATATGTTCCTTTATTGCGATACAGTTCCAAGTTTGTAGCAGGCATTGTCACAGATGTATGCTCATGCTCACAATGATGCACGTATCTTCGAGCTTTACCAGGATATAGCCCAGGTCTCTTAGTCCTCTCTTGGCCTTTCTATAGCTGAATTCTTTGGATATCTTCAGGCTCGTTGGGAGGAACTTGCTTAATGTGAGTATTTGACTGAACTTCCACCAGAAGCTGCCTCCCCTTGTGTCCATAGGAATGGCAACGGGCCGGAGCGGGGCCGGGGACCACACTCCCCGTCCCCGATCCCCGAACCTATGACCGTCCTCGTTCCCGCCCCCCCAAAGGGGATCAGGTTTCCCCGACCTCGAAAATTTCCCGGACCAAATATGTTTCAACAACACCATCAACACCAAATTTGTTTCATTTTCAACATCAACATTAACAAAATCATCAACCGATCTGAGGAGGACTGAACACACAAAAAAAAAAAAAACAGTAGAGACAGTATAGATCTGAGGAGGATTGAAAAAATGGAAAAAACATACATATAAATCCATGCACAAACAGTACAGATTTGAGGGCGGAGGCGATGGACAAAACATACATATAAATCCATACACAAACAGTACAGATCTGAGGACGGAGGCAATGGACGACGGAGGATGATGACGGAGGCGATGGAGGATGACGAAGGCGACGGAGGACGACTGCGACAACAACGGAGGTGCTGAGGCGATGGACGGAGGCTATGACTGCAACGACGGAGGAGGATGATCAGCATCGCGGACAGTGGCGGCGGTGGCGTTGAGGAGGAGGAGGAGAGCTGCGAGAGTGAGAGAGAGTAGAGGGAAGAGAGAGAGAGAGAGAGAGAGAGAGAGAGAGAGTTATGTATGGACCGTCCACTCTCCTTTCTATTCTATATATATATGGGTAAAATAGTAAATTTACTTCGGGGACAAACGAGGCCGGGTATGGGGCTGGGACACTTATCCCTGTCCCCGATCCCAAAACTGATTGGGGATTGATTTTTAAATACCATCCCCGTCTCGTTGGGGATATTTTTCGAGGAAAAACCGCTCAAATCGGGATCGGGGAGTCGGATCCCCATCGGACTGGGTTTAAATTGCCATCCCTGTGTCCAAGAGGCTTGCCCGACAGCACACTTATCAGTTTCTCATAGGTTTAAACTCTGAATTTGAATCTCTTCGAATTCAAATTCTAAACACATCACCCATGCCATCTCTTTATGAGGCTTTTGCCATTATTGACAGTGATAAGCGTAGTTCAACCCAGTGTTCCTTTAGTACCTCCAGTTTTAGTAGATCAGATAGCTCTTGCCGCGAGTTCTGGTTTTTGGAGTTCCATCAATTCTGTTGCTTGTCATCATTGTGGTGCGCCTAAACATGTCAAAGCCCTATGCTTCAAACTTCATCCTGAGTTGAGGCAATGCCCTTCCCATCCTCGTGGTCCTGGCTCTTCTTGCGTTGCTGCTTTGGTGGAAATTACTCTTGCTTCTAAGCCTCCCAATGTCCCTAATCTATAGCAGTTACAGACTCAGATTGGTCAGTTTCAGGCCCAACTTGGGTCTCTCACCATTGGTTCTCTTGGTCCATCATCCTCTACTGCCACCCTTGCTACAGGTACTTCTACTGCTTTCCATGTTCGGTCTGCTAGTTCTTCATGGATTCTGAGGCTAATGATCATATGATTGGTGAGTTTTCTTTTCTTTCTTCTCTTGCACCCGCCATTGCTGCCCAATCTGTGTGTCTTGCTGATGGTTCTTACTCTTCTGTCCAACATAAGGGTGTTGTGTTTTTATCCCCTGATATCACTTTATCTTCTATGTTGCATGTTTCCAAGTTTGCTTATAATCTCTTATTTGTTACTCGTTTTGCAAAAAACTTTAATTGCGTCGTCATCTTCCTACCTTCTTCATGTCTTTTACAGGACCTGAGTTCGAAGAGGATTTTTGGCAGGGGATATGAGCGCGATGAGCTATACTACTTTGGGGATCCACCGGACTAGCCTTATTCGACTTTAGCCAGTTTTCAGGCATCTGTTGTGCCTGCTTCTATATCTTGTGTTTTTTCTGTTCAAACTTTAGAGTTATGGCATGCCCGCATGGGTCATGTTGACTTTCAATATTTATGTCTACTTTTTCTGTTATTAAATAAAGCTTGCAAGGATTCTAAATTTCATTGTGTTAATTACGAGTTGTCTAAACATATCCGTACTAGTTATATACCACATATGACACATGTCCCTAGTGCTTTTGACCTTATTCATTCTGATATTTGGGGTCCCTCTCCTGTTCCTATTTTTTTGGGTCATCGTTGTTATGCGACTTTTATTGATGATTACACTAGGTGTACTTGGGTCTATTTACTTCGTCGCAAGTCTGATGTGTTTCCCATCTTTGTTCAGTTTTTGCAAATGGTAAGACACAATTTCGTACCATTGTTAGGAACATCTGCTCTGATAATAGTGGGGAATACATCTCCAATGAGTTTCGTTTTCACCTTAATTGAACGGGTATTTTTCAACAATTTACTTGTACTCGGAACCCTGAACAAAATGGTGTGGTTGAATGTAAAAGCCGTCATATTATGTCTGTCGTGCGTTGACTTTTTCGTGGTATGAGTGTGCCCAAGTCTTATTGGCACATGGCTATTCTTATTGTTGTCTATCTCATTAATAGGACTCCTAGTCGTGTGTTAAGGCCTTACTCCATTCCATATTCTTATGCCTAAGACTACCATTTTTTCTCTTTTGCCTCGTGTTTTTGGGTGTACATGTTTTGTTCAGGACCGGTGTTCCACTCGCATTAAGTTAGATGACAAGTCTATTCGTTGTGTCTTTTTGGGTTATCCTTCCATGTCTAAAGGGTATAGATGTTTTGATCCCGTGTCTTGTCACTTTCACCATACTCTGGATGTTAGTTTTTGTGAAGATCTTTTTTTTTAGTCCTAACCTTCCGATGTAGGTTTCCTCTTCAGATACTCAAAGTGTTCGTCCGGTCCCTATTTTAGATGAGGTTGACCCTCCCTCTCATCCTCCACTTTCGCCTCTTTCCTTGCACGTATACTCTTGCTGCCTACGTGTTCAGCCCCTTCCTGCCACCTCTCTGGATCTTGGGTCAGGTAATTCTTCCCCTTTACATACATCTCCTTCTCTTCCTCGTTGTAATCCTCCTTGGGATCGACATCCCCCCAATCATTGGGATTATCTGTGTAGTACTAATCATCCCATTTCCCAATATCTCTCATATGACAGGGTTTTCGACTCATATCATTCTTTCCTTGGCAAGCTTGAGTCCGAGTCTATTCTTCGGTCTGTGTCAGAGGCCCTTCAGAATCCAAAATGGGTGGAGGCAATACAAACTGAAATGACAACTTTAGAACAGAATCATACTTGAGATTTGATTTTTTACCTTATGGCGAGAGTACCGTAAGTTGCAAATAGGTCTTTGCTATTAAGTACCTACCTGATGGCTCCGTTGACCGTTATAAGGCCTGGTTAGTGACTAAGGGCTTTACTTAAGTTCCCGGCAAGGATTTTGGTGCTACCTTTGCACCAGTTGCCAAGCTTACCTTTGTTCGTCTGCTCATCTCTCTTGCAGCATCCCATTCTTGGCCCCTTTATCAGCTTGAAGTCAAGAATGTCTTTCTGCATGGGGCTCTTCTTGAGACGATTTATATGGCACCTCCTCCTGGTTTTCGAGTTGAGGGGGAGTATTCGGGGCAAGTATGTTGATTGCACAAGTCTTTGTATGGCTTGAAGCAGTCTCCACGAGCTTGGTTTGGTCGTTTTTGCTCAATCATCATCTCCATGAGCTTTGTTCTGTGCTATTCAGACCATACTTGCTTCATCCGTCATAATTCTGCAGGCCAGTGTATAGTCTTTTTGGTGTATGTGGAAGATATCATTCTTACCGGTGACGACTCTACAGGCATTGATCAAGTAAAACAGAATTTGGGACACACCTTTGATATTAAGGATTTGGGGAATCACAAGTATTTTCTGGGGATTGAGGTGGCTCGCTCATAGCAGGGGATTTTCTTATCTTGAAGGAAGTATACTCTTGACTTACTTAAGGATACTGGTATGTTGGGTGTAAACCTGCTTTTACTCTATGAATCAGAGTCTGGCAAATTACTAGAGGACCCAAGTATGTATCACTGTCTTGTTTGGCGTCTTATCTATTTGACAAATACTAGACCTGATTTGACATTTGCGGTTAGTGTGGTTAGCCAATTCATGCATGCGCCTTTTATAGAACATCTTGATGCAGTTCATCAAATCTTGAAATATTTGAAGACCTCTCCTTGCTTGGGATTGTTCTTCACAATTGATTCTCAATCTGGACTCTCCTGTTTTACTAATGCTGACTATACAGGATCTAGAACAGATAGGCATTCTACTTCTGGCTTCTGTACTTTCTATAGTGATCATCTTATATCATGGAAAAGTAAGAAGAAAATAGTTGTTTCTAGGTCTTCTGCAGAAACTGAGTATAGGGTTGTGGTACAAGGCATTTGTGAGATTCTATGGCTGTGTTCTAAGAAGTACGGACACTTCTAAGAAGGTGACGTATTTGTGTCGTGTCGTGTCGTGTCGTGTCGTGTTCGTGTTGGACACTAACACTTTCTGGACACTCTTAGGACACGTGTCCGACACTCTTCAAAACGTATCCTATTTTTTTAATTTTTTTAACGATCCGGACACTTTTTGGACACTTGGAGGGCACATGTGTCAATCACTTAAACACACATGTCTATCGATTAGACACACATGAAACTAATTATAAGTTTAAACAAAACAACGTAAGATACAATAATAAAACAAAAACTATATAAATTTGTAGGAATTACTCTCATATTGCATTTTTTATTATCTTTGAATGATATATTCATATATATAACATATAATAAATAAAATAAAATTATATATTTCATGCGTATCCCTCACGTGTTGTGTCCTGCATTTTTTGAAAATTAACGTGTCGACGTGTCCGTGTCGTATCAATGTCGTGTCATGTGTCCGTGTCCATGCTTTTTAGACTGCGTTCTATTTTGGTAGAGTTAGGATTTGAGGAGACTGGTCCTCTGCTTCTTTGTTTTGTGACAACAAGTTTGCTATTATATTGTCTTCTGATTCTATCCTACATGAGCGTACTAAGCATATGGAGGTTGATTCACATTTTATTCGAGAGAAGGTTCGGATTGGTATCGTGAGACCATCCTTTGTCTTTTCTTCTTAGCAATTAGTAGATATATTCATCAAGTCTGTAGGCCCAACATTATTCCAGTTGTCTATTGGCAAACTGCGTTTATTGAATATCTTTACACCAGTTTGAGGGGGAGTGTTGGAATTAGGAAATAGTGATATTATAATTATGGTAATGTTGGAATTAGGAAATAGTGATATTGTAATTATGGTAGTGTGTATAAGAGTTATGCTAAAGACCCCAAATATTCTACCAAATATTTTATCAAATCTCTCACATGGGTGTGGGACCCACACACATGTGGATTTGTGTGAGTCCCATCCCATGTGAGAGGTTTGGTAAAATATTTGGTAGAATATTTGGGTTATATAGCATTTCTCGTGTGTATAAAATCTGTAATTGTGTCAATCACAGATTTAATACTTTTTTTTATCTTCGTTTCCTATTTTGTTCGTTTCCTATTTTGTAATATTGTTTCATTATAAATACAAGGCTCTACCTCATTCATAGGTAAACCAAAACAATTCTTTTCATTCTTTTTCAGTAAGATTCCTGGTGAAACTAAGATTCCAAGCAATTGGAGCCAAACTAGAACATGCCAACGGTGCAATGGAGAACCCATGAGAGTTTACAACCTTATAAAGATCTGGGAAATCTTTAGCAAAAGGAGAATTTCCGACCCAAATGTCCTCCCAGAACCAGATCGACTCCCCATTTCCGACCCTTATAGAGAGAAATCTAGAGAACAGAGGAAAACCATGAGATATCGACTTCTAAGGAGAACGACAATTACCCCTCAAAACCACATGAATAGACCTACCATCATCATGAACCCCATACTTGCTCTTAATAATAGAGAACCATAATGAGTCACTCTCCAAAGGGAATCTCCATAGCCACTTTCCGAGAAGGGCAAGATTTCTTGCTACAATGTTCCCTAATGCAAGCCCCCTTTTATCTTTAGACAATGAAACAATCTCCCATCTAACCAAATGCGTCTTTTTTTCCCTCATCCTTTCCTTTTCATAAAAAATCGCTCATTATGCTCTCAATAGATTTAGCAACCCGAATCGGCACCTTGAAAAGAGACAAAAAATAAAGGGAATTCCACTTAAAATGGATTGGATCAAAGTGTACCTCCCTCTTTTTGAAAGCAAAGCTCTCTTCCAATCCTCCAATAATCTCTTGCCTCTCTTACCCACCACCGGCTTCCAAAAGGATTCACTTCTAGGATTTCCCCTTACAGGAAGCCCTAAATATTTCATGGGAAACTTCTCTATGGAACACCCTAGAATCTCCACCAAGCTTTGAACTCGACTCTGTTACAAGTTAATGCCTGCCTACAATACTACTCTTGCTCAAATTAACTTTAAGACCCATGACGACCTCAAAAATCCTTAATAGCGAAAGGATGCACCTCACCTTGCGCTCCTCCCCTGATGAAAAAAATATGGGGCCATCTGCGAATTGAAGATGAGAAATACAAACTATATCTATCCCTACCATAAAACCATCTACCAGATCTAACTCTTTTGCCCTATCAACCAACCTACCGAAAACATCCGCAACTAGGATAAAAAGGAAAGGGGACAACGGATCGCCCTGCCTTAAACCCCTTGTGGCCTTGAAAGAATTTCCCAGTTTCCCATTAACAATGATTGACATATTACATGTTGATAAACAGCCCCAAATCCATCTCCTCCACTTCTCCAAAACCCTTTTTAGACATTACAAAATCCAAAAAAGCCACAACACATGATCATAGGCTTTCTCAAAATCAACTTTAAAAACAACCCTACCTTCTTCAAAACTCTATATTTCTCTACCGCCTCGTTTGCTACCAAAACAACATCTAATATCTGACGACCCTTTACAAAAGCTCCTTGAACTGAAGAAACAGTATCCCCCAAGGTCGCTCTTAGCCTTTTTGATAAAACCTTCCTCAAAATTTTATAGAGCGACGAAACCAAACTAATGGGTCTGAACTCACTTATCTTAACTGAAAACTCTTTTTTGGAATCAAACAAATAAATGACGCATTTGTGCTCAAATTAACAATCCCCCTTTCATGAAATTCTGCGAATACTCTCATCAGATCACCTTTCATCACCTCCCAACAATCTTGAAAAACAGTCATAGAAAAACCATCTGGTCTTGGAGCTTTATCTCTTTCGCAATAAAAAACTGCTTCTTTAATTTCCGCCTCCTCAAAATGCCTTTCCATCCACCTAGCCAATGCCGCATCACACAAGTAATTAATGGAAATAATTTGCTTCCCATCCCATTGTTCAAACAGTCTTAAATGCATCTATGAAATTGCCATATTAGTTATAGATGGAATTTTTAACAGTAGGGAGGTAAAGTGCAAACTGTCAAAAGAGTTTGCGGGGGGCTGTTAAAATCTACCTACTCTCCACCTACTTCACCCACTTAAACCTACTCCACTAAACCTAACCCACTACACCACTACCACCTCCACTTCACCTACTCCTTACCTACTACACACTCACCCTCTTCTATATATAGGAATAATGAATCTTGTAATACATCAATGTATCAGATCAATCAATCAATAAATACATTCTTACAATTTCCGTGGTGTTTACACATTGCTATGATAGATAGACAAGAAAATTATTGATAAATTCTTCATTTATCCCTGTATGTTACTGGTCATGTTTGAAATGCAGGCATATTTTGCTTTTGACAATCTCAGTATCCTTGACATAGCTTTTACTGATGATGCATGTTACCTTGTCGCAGAACTTTGTAGGTTTATCTGTGTCTGAGGGATACATTGCTACTGGCTCAGAAACAAATGAGGTATGTTATATATCGCCTAGCATTTTATAGATTATTAGGAAGTTAGAGTTTGCTAGCTTATTGTAACTACTTCAATAGCATGTGCAAGGTAAAAACTGTTTTCTGTGTTTTCTTTTTGTCAAGCATGTTTAAGAGAAGCTTCTATTGAGACAATTATCTGATAGTAGAATCTAAAGCTGTCTTTAAGAACAAGTTTAGTAAAAGAAAGAAAGCCTTTTCCTTGGTCCATTGGTGATGAGTTACGCAATGGAGCCTTCCCCTCATTAGATCCAAGGTCTATGGTACCACCAAGAGACATTACCAGCTATAAACTATCTGGCACATTCAAAAGAGTCCTTTCTAATGGCCACTAGAGTAGGATCAAAAGTTTCTGTGGTCAGTAAGCTGCTTATGCTGACCTGATGGAAATTAAATTGTTCTGAAATTATGGTTTGTGCCAAGTCTAGAGCTCTCCTCTTCTCTTCACTTGGTTGGTTGAACTTGGTTGACTCCGCTCAGCTAAGAGTTTGATATTGTCAAATTTACATTGTTACCTAGTCAGTACATTCAAAATTAGAGGCAATATAGGTATCTCGTGTGCCATGAGGATATATTAGTCCTTTTGTTACCTGAGAACTGTGACGAAAAGTTAACTTCTTACTTCGAAGAGAGAGACATCAGCTTTTGTTAATGAATGAAATTGGCTTTCAAGATCACTAACTAATTTGTTTCATCTTAGTGCTTGACTTCAGGTGGCTTATCTGTTAAAGGTTTTTCATCAGTGCAATAATTAAATTTAGGCTAAGCAGCAGAGACAGGAACACGTGAAATGACACGGACATGGACACGTTGACACCAGAATTTTCAAAAAACGAGGACACAACACGTGGGGGAGATGCACAAAATATATAATTTTGTATTTTATCTGGCATATATAATGAATTATTATATATCATGTATGAATATTTAATTCAGAGGTAATGATTTTTTAAGTCTAAAGGTGAAGGGAAAGAATAAGTATAAATTTATTTTGTTTTTATTCTGTCATTAGATCTATCCAACCTTTTTACATTTAAAATGCTTACTGAATAACTCGTAGTAATGCTTACTCTCATGCTAACAAGTCACAAGAATTCCCAAGTGAAATTGCACAAGCTAATCATTTTCTAATGGGCACAGACCCCTTAGTGTGGGCTTGGTTTGATGATCTTTCACAAGTTGAGCTTGAATGAGCCATAACTGAATGGAACTAGAGTCACTCACGAAGAATGCAGTTTGTTTTGCACTAGTCCTAGGGTGTGACAAATATGCTTGTGAATCAGTCAAACCTGCTTGTTGTGCTATTTTCTTGGACATAACTACCAGTATGATTCCTAGAAAAAAGCAGGATTACATGCACTGTGGGAGCTGCAAGTTTCATTAGAGGTTGCAAGAGAATTGACTTGTTAGAAAAGACTGCATTTTGTTGACTGCATTTTCACCTATTACCATTTTTGTTTACTTTGGTTTTTGCACACAAATTTAGGTGTCCTTCGAAGGTTGAACGTCCATCATCCATCCCTGCCCTAACATCCTCTAAATATTATGTCCTTTGATAATTCTTGGTGCATATATTAATCCGTGTTACCGTTCTTCAGTTTGATTTTGACTGATACTGGTGTTATTCTTCACGGTACAGGTTTTCATCTACCATAAAGCTTTCCCAATGCCTGCATTGTCATTCAAGTTCAGTAGCACAGATCCACTTTCTGGCGATGACGGTGATGACTCTGCACAGTTCATCTCATCTGTTTGTTGGCGTGGTCAGTCGTCCACCTTAGTTGCTGCAAATTCCATGGGAAATATCAAACTTTTGGAGATGGTTTAAATATAATCGTTGAAAAATTAAAGAAGGCTAGGTTTCCAAGAAAGAAAAGTGACGATGAACGAGGATACAAGCCAGGACAGGCTTGATTTCGAGGAGTTTGGATGGCTGAGATCTGTCACTGCATGGAATGGAAGGTTATAGCAACAGAACAAATTTTGGCATTCGAACACAGCGGATGCCGACAAGATGAAGAGTGAGAATGAATTTTGATTCAAAATGTACTGTAGATAAATATTTAGACGACAAAAAAGAAGGGTGAGAATCAATATTCTTGTATATCCTGTAATGGTACAGTTCAGAATCATTTGAAATTATAAATATAATTGTTGGATAGGATGAAATAGCTAGAGCAACAGATTTACGAATATTTTCTTATGAAAAACGTATTGTATTGGAAAATATTTTCAGAAAATATTTTTTGTTAAAAAACTAGTGATAGCGTGGTGTTGGTGCGGTGGTGATGGTTAATAAGCCCTCATTTAATCGTGCTTAGTCTTCGTTTGAGATGTGAGTTGGTTTTTTAATTATTTTAATCTGGGGTTAAAAGTCTCATTTGAGATGATTTTTTTGACTTTTGTAAGAAAAAAATAATGATTATAATTTAGATATGACATTTTGTCTTATTAATTTTTTAATTTATTTTATTTTTTTAGGACTAAAATAGTCAAAAAAAAAATATGCCAAACATAGCTTTACTTATTTAATATCGTATTAGATTCATTTAAAAAAATGAGGGCTAACTTATTTAAGGTCGAAAGTGTGCTTCATTGTTTAGTGATACGGAACAATGATAGAGAATTTTAATTTTGGAGTTTTAAAGAAAGTTTTAATGATGTAATAAGAGAAAAAAAGAAAACAAAAATATAAACATGCATTACATCACATATGAATTTTACTTCTTATCACATCATTATAATTTTCTTTAGAGATTTAGAATTAGAACTCTCAATTCTACATTTGAAGGTGATATTCAATTTCTGAAATCCAAAGCAGTGAATTTTGAAATCCATTATCTCAAAATATGGCTAATTATTTTCTTAAACACCACTCTCGTCAATTTTTTACTTGCAACTTTAACAGGCCCTGTTTGGTGCAATTTATAGACACTATTTATATGTTTTTTCCCCCCTTTAAATTTAGGAATCTGTCACAATTTAGTTTATGAGATAGAAATTGCTTAAAAAACAAAAAATTAAAAAAAAAAAAAACTAATTATTGAAACACTGAGGAAGGGACGCTTTCAATTTACAAGAAATTACACCAAACAATAATAGTGTGTTCGGATTTTAAATTTGTGATGAAATTTGTCAATATATATTTTTTTCTTTCATAAATCCCTCCACAGTTCGAAGATTCAAACATGGACTAAGAAAACCACACATCAAGACGTAAAATCAAACTGAAACATGAAAGTTAGCAGAACTTGTGAGAGAAAAGCGAACACCAAAGAATAATTAATATGGGTAATTGGGAAGAAAAAAAAAGTAGAAATAAGTAACTACATAATTTTTAACCGTGACAAAACCTAAGATGACAATGGTGCTAACTTTAACCACCCCACCCCCCCAAAAAAAAAAAAAAACTAAAAATTTGCTCTCTTTGATACAACATTCTTAAAAACACTTGGGCTTGTGGATTTTTTTTTTTTGGTTTGATAACTCGATATCTAGCCCATTGGACCGATTAATCTGGTTGGGCTTGTAGATTGAACCAACACTTTCCAATTTGCCTTTTTTCCAACGATAATGCTTCAATGAAATCTTACTTACAGTGGTTTTCACCATTCTTACTCGACAAAAGTAGCTGATCTATGAGCCGTCGCAGCCTTCGAGCTCCCGGACTCGGTTTAATCTTGTTAGGATTCCCTACCTTGGAACACCGGGGCTTACCCGCACACCAACCACCCGGCGTGAAGCTCCCATTTCTTCGGCCCAATAACTCCTTATCAATCTTATCCAAAACAGGGTCGTTATGCTTGAATTTACGTGCAAACGCAGCGCCACTAGCAATCATTTTGGCTGTGTCGTTTAGATTGAGGGTGTGGGGGTGCTGCTTCGGGGGAGTGTCCCAAGAGATATAGTGCATATCATGGTTGATGGCGGTTTGGACAAACTCCGGCACGTTGCATATGACGGTTTGAAAGTAGCCTTCAGGAGAGGAGACGAAATTTGTGTAGTACATGAGTAGTATTCTCGGAAGGTTATCCCAACCCCATATGACGTATTCGACGAATGAACGTGAAAGGACCATCCATGCCGAACCTGAAACAAATTTATATGTCTTGTAATAAATCAGACTCCAATGCAGAGGAAATAACACCGGTCATGAGTGTGAAGTCATCTGGATAGAGATGGTTCTACTTCATCATATATTTGCAACATGAAATATATGAAATAGATTAGAAACAACAATGGGTTCTCTGCCCCTGCAAGGATGGAGAGACAAAAGCTGGGAAGCACAGACACAACAATAAAAAATATTTATATGTAGATTAATATTACATGTAGAAAAAAACAATTCAATATTTTTCAAAAAAATACTAGATTTAAATAATTAATAGATAATTTATAAAAAAGACCAAAAAAAAAAAAAACCATTCATCATCCAATATTCATCAAAAAAGTAGAAGGTAAAAAAACGAGTTGACATGTCCCCGAAAAAACAAATTGATTAAATAAAGGGACATGCTAACCGGGGTGTCCCGAGCAGCCATGTCATGTGTCCTTGTCGAAACTGACACTACAACACCTATTTTGGAGTGTCCACGCTTCATAAAGATAGAAGTTTTGAGAATTTGAAACAAGGTTACGGCGAGACAAGCTGTTAATCATTATGATATGTCTCAAAGTGGAAGTGCAATGTATGCAACTTAGGCATCCTAACAGACTGGTGGACCTTAACCATGTTCCTACATGACCCGATCAATTCGATGCACGACTGTTGTCATCTCGTGTCCTAAGGTGTTGGGTGAATACATGTTCTATTGCAAATTGCAATTACACCTCGTAGTCTATTTAAATTGTCCTGTTTCAATTATTAAAAAATCCGTGGCTTTATTCCACTTACGTGGTTGAAGGTCGAATTTTCTCAGGCAGCATGATTTCATTGATTAACTGCTTTACATTCATGATAAAAACCAATTAAGAGAGTGACTAAAACATGAGAATATCAACATTTACCACGTCATTTCAAACTGAGCTAGCATTGCAATACAGAACACTAGGAATTCATAATTACCGAAATAGAGCTTATAAACTCAAAGAAGAAATCAACTGAAACAATTAATTGAAACTTGAACTAACACAGATAATTATAATGTGAAATTTCATAGGTTCAATCCGTTTGGATATTGTGGTTTTGTAGATTGAATCTATAAATAACCAAAGTTCAACACACATTAGCTATTAAATTAACAAAAACATGAAATAATCAAAAGTAAAAAATACTAACCAGTAAACAATTTATAGGCTGTTGGCAAACCTCTCCCTGGTGTGGCCCAAAATATATCTTGCTTCGTTGACTGGTAGAGCCCGGGATCTACCATCAATGGCATTGCTCTCTTATCCCTTGAAAGAGAACCAAATATTAACATTTAACATATGGTTACCTGAACAGAAGAGGTAGAGAGAGAGAGAGAGCTTACTCCTTCCAACCCAAATGGCTTGTGTGCTCAATGAAATTCAGCTCTCGCTTTAAGTCAGAAAAAACGAAAAGAAGATCTGGACACAACATTCTAAATAAATGAAGCAGCTTTGAAGAAAAACAAAATACATCTCAACTAACAACGGGATTTTTTGGGAAGTGGGTTATTCTCTCACAATCAGCTTTTAATTAGCTTTTAACCAAAAAGCTGATTATAACCATCTTCCCAAAATAGTCCAATGTTTATAATAGAGAAACGAACAGTAAAGCAACTTACCATCCTGTGTCACAAGAGGATAATCTGAAGCACTGAGGTTAATAAACCAATCCCAATCCTTACTTCTCTTGAGAAGGATAGCACATGCGTGAAGAGTATTGGCAACCATGGTCGGTCCTCTATAAGTAACCATATTAGCTTTGGTAATCATGTGAACATTCCCAACTTTGACAAACAGTGGGTCTTTTGCCACCAGGGAAGCAAGCTCCAACCTCTCTTCTACAGGCGATTCTAGGTCTAGATGGACAACATATTGGTTCCGTGGATGATATAGCGTTCTAAGCGTTCTCCAAAGCTTTTCCAAATCACCTCTAGACCCGGAAATCAGATAAGCGAAACGAGGGATAGAAGGCCCAGCAGGAGGAGGAGGAGGAGTGTGCACAACTTTGCTTTCCGCAAAAAGTTGGTCCGTGTGATTGGTATGAGATGGGAAAATAGAAATGATTGAATTGATCTTGCGCAACGAGGAAACAAGACCCATGTTGAATGAGGTTGCAAAGAGAAATACACATATGAACGAGGTTATAACCAGAGGAAATACCCATTTCTTCTCAACGTTCATCGACCCCATGGCTAAAACCTTTCACCCAACTCCACCAAACAACTCTTCTTTACATCCCACTCTTCCCCAATCCTTGGTTCAACAATTTGTTTTCCAAATTTTGAATTTGTATTGGCATAGGGTGTCACAAAATGTTCAAACACGGATCAAACGTTCAAACTCCTTCAAATAAACGTTGTAATCTGTCGAATAATCACCCAAGAATAAAATTCATTCCTACTCTATTAAATTAATGCCAATTATGAAGAAATCGAAGGCGTCGTAAACAGCAAAATGAAGTATTAAAATAAAGACACAATAAGACAAATTAACTCCAAACAAACAGGTACTAATATTTTATACGTATGTATCTATCTAGAGAGAGAGAGAGAGACAGAGAGAGGTGAATGAATATTATATAATCAATTAGAGGAGAGAAAACTGTGACATCAAGAAAATTGAAAAAGGTAACAACTGGGATAAATAAATAAAAAAAATTAAACAATTGGAAATATCTACATCGTTCAGGAGCTAATATTAATGCAATTGTCAATCACTTTCATTGAAAACCCACGATTTTGAAGCAAATAAAAAGCCAAATCTTCGTTCAATCTGAGGAAACCACGCACAAATCACCAGAATCGAAACCCTAGTTTGTAAATCTAATCCCTGAGCAGAGCATTAATGGCTAACTACTTACATTAACTACCCAAAAAAATACCCAAAAAATACATACAAATTTCAAAACCCAGATGATAAATCAAAGCTTTTAAATCGCTCAATAAAGAAAAAAAATACAAAATTTATTTACCATATCAACAATAGAGACAGATTAGAAGCTCAAAAAAATGTGAAGATTGAAAACCCAGAAAAATTCTGAAACAGTTCAATGAAATCCAAGCAATACAAGCTCGAAACACTCATCTAAAATGTTATATATATATATATATAAACAGAGATGGAAAGAAGAAGAAGAAAAAAGAGAGGAAAAAGAACCTGGGTTTGATGAGTGCAGCCCTGTTTATACACGTACAGTGTAGAGAGAGAACAATAAAAAATTGAGATGAGAGAGAGACAGAGAAAGCTTGTGAAGCAAAACTAGTATATTTTTTGAGACAGGTGTGAAAGAAAGGTGGGTTTTTTTTTTTTCTTTTTTGATTATTTCTGTTGTCAGTTGTTGATTGTTGAGTTTTCAATCTGACTTAGGACTTTTCTGTTACTCGTTTAAGGGAAGAAGACGATGAAGAACACATCAATCGTATGTTTACTTTGACCGAGGCGGCAATCAAATAGGTCTTTTACACATATATATAGCAACTGTTTATCTGTATGTATATCTACCTGCAAATATATACATAGATGGGAAATAGATTAAGAGATATATAATTGCATTAATTCATTATCATAACTAAAAAAAAATACTTATAATTGAAAAGTTCTGACATCATAATTAAAATAATGTTCAAATTAGGGACTTAAGGCAAATTTTTTAAATTGGGCCCTTCATATATCATTATTAAAAAAAAAAAATTTGTTTGGATAAAACAAAAAAGATAAAAATTTATTTCTATTACATTACAATTTAACAAAATTTAGATAACAAATATATATATAATAGTTGAACTTCAATTAATTGAATCGAATCTTTATTTTTTAGCTTATCAATGCTATAAGAACAAAAATTAATTGGGGGTAAGGATGAGAATTTTCGACATAACTCAAGTAATATATAAAATTAGCAAGTTTAGATTGACAATTTTCAACATGAATCCAAGTATGACGCAACTCAATAACATGAATTATTAGTTATATATTTGAATATTCACTAAGGAATGGATGTGAATGAGAAGAAAAGTAGAGAAACTCATCCAGAGAAATTTGGTCCAGAGAAATTTCTTTGGGCTAGAATTTCTCTGACCAATTTTCTCTGCACTGAAATTTCTCTGGACCAAATTTCTCTGGACCAATTTTCTCTGGACTGAAATTTCTCTGGACTGAAATTTCTCTGGATCAAGGTTGAGGGACCTTAGACATTATAAAAATATTTGATGTCCTTTATGCTATAAAATCATAATACCAGGGACCTTAAAAAAAAACCCCTTTATTTAACTCTATCTAATTGAATAAAAAAATATATAAAATGATAATTAAGGCTAATATATTTTTTTCATTTAAGATATATATTTTTTTGTTACTTATTTTAGAGTCAATCTAATAAAAATATATAGTAATAAGCTACAATTTTTTTAATTAGAAAAATGCAATTGAATTAAAATAAAACATTTTATGAATAATTTCATTTAGTTGAAATAAATTTTATAAAATTCAACTTATGAGAAAAACTCTCAATAGGCTTGCTAAGTTATTCTTAACTAAAACTAAAAGTTTTCACATTAAATATCAATCGAACAAGAATTAAAATAACACCACACGACAACATCAAAATAAATAAATTGAGCTAATATTAAAATAATTATGAGATAACATGACATGATACACTCTCCTAATTAGGGGTCCTAAATTTTGTTCAAAATTGGGGGCCCAGCCTCAGTCGCCTCACCCCAAGGCCGGCCCTGTTAATTACCAAGTATGAATGGATAATATATGCAAAATGTTAAGGCCCCGTTTGTTTTCAGAGGTAGAATGGATGAGATTGATAGTGAGAGAATTAAGTAAAATTGTGTTTGTTTTGATGATAGTTGTTAGTGTAGGGATTGTTAAATTATTTCTATACTAAATAAATATAAAATAATAAAACAAATAAAAAAATACAAAAACATTAAATATTAATGTTTTAAAAAAATGGTCAACATGTAAAAAATTTAAAAAAAATAAAAATAAAATAAAAAATTTTCAGAAAAAAATAAAATAAATAAAATAATAATTTTTACTTAACAAAAAATACAAAAAATTAAACATTAATGTTCAAAAAAAATGCCCGACATGTAAAAAATAAAATAAAATAAAATAAAAAATTTCTACTATTTTTCTAATACCAAGTCCTGGAGGCCCATTCGAATCTCATCTGCAAGGCCTATCCTAAGCCTTTCGGCCTAGCAGTCCCTTCCTCAACTCTGTAAACAAACAACACATTAAATGGGGCCTGCAGCTATCCTAATCCCAATCCCCCTCTCATACCCCAAAACAAACGGGGCCTAAAGGTTTTGTTTGGCAATCAATTTTTCGGCTAAAAAAAATATAAAAGACAAAATAAGTTAAATAAATTAATAAGATAAAATGTCACAATCAAATCATAATCATTTCACTTTTTCTCTCATAAAAGTAAAAAAAAATCAACAAAATCAAACCAAACAAATTGTTAATCCCAAACTAAAATAGTCAAAAAATCAAAAAGCCAATTAAAAGAGCCTATTGTCAAACGACGACTTCGACCTTATTTGTCAACTATATATTTTAACTAAAAAGTCAAAAAAATTACTATAAGCTGTCACATATCTCTCTCTATTTTTCTACACATCTTTTTTTAAAAAATCAAAAAATTACTAAAATAATCTATTTACAAATGAGACCTTAATTATATAAGACTTATAACTAAAAAACAAATTGAGTTATAATCGAAAAGTTCTGAAATGATAATCAAAATAATATTAAAAACTACAAAGATCTTAATAATTGTATTAATTATTAATTAACAAGTATGGATGGGTAATATATGCAAAATGTTATAACATACAATATTTATAACTAAAAAACAAATTAAGTTATAATCGAAAAGTTCTGAAATGATAATCAAAATAATCTTAAAAACTACAAATATTGTAATAGTTGCATTAATTAATTAACAAGTACAGATGGGTAATATATGCAAAATGTCATAACTTATATAAGACTTATATCTAAAAAACCAAATTAAGTTATAATCGAATCATAACTAAAATAATATTAAAAACTACAAAGATGGTAATAATTGCATTAATTAATTAACAAGAATGGAGGGATAATATATGCAAAATGTTATAACTTTTATATAATCCTTATAACTAAAAAAACAAAGTGAGTTATAGTTGAAAAGTTTTGAGATCATAACTAAAATAATATTAAAAACTATAAAGATAGTAATAATTGCATTAATTAATTAACAAGTATGGGTGGGTAATATATGCAAAATGTTATAACTTAATTATATAAGACTTATAACTAAAAAACAAACTGAGTTGTAATTAAAAAGTTCTGATATCATAATCAAAATAATATTAAAAACTATAAAGATAATAATAATTGCTTTAATTAATTAACAAGTATGGGTGGGTAATATATTCAAAATGTTATAACTTAATTATATAAGACTTATAACTAAAAAACAAATTGGTTTCCCTGGATATTTTTATCAGAAATACTGGGACGAAGTGGGGAGGGGGGGGGGTTTGTTTGTACCGCGGTGCGTAGTTTCTTCAATGGTGGTTATCTACTCAGAGAACTCAAGCAAACCAACTTGGTTTTGATTCCTAAGGTCAGTAACCCTATTACTTTATCGCAATTTCGACCTATCAGTTTGTGTAACTTCTTTCTTAAGATTATTACCAAACTCCTTGCTAATCGCTTCAAAGGAATTTTGAAGCTTTTGATTTCCCCTAACTAGTTAGCTTTTGTATCCGGGTGGCTTATCCAGGATAATGTCATAGTGGCCCATGAAGCTTTTCATTCACTCAAACTCTGTAAGTCAGGGCAGTTGGTCAGATGGCCATCAAGCTTGATTTTGATAAGGCTTATGACAGAATCGAGTGGGATTTCCTGGACATGGTTTTGAGAAAAATGGGCGTTGATTCGAAGTGGGTTAATTGGTCATGGAATTTGTTCCCACGGTTAGCTTCTCTATTTTTGCCAATGGAGAGAAAAGGGCCTCATTTGTCCCATCGCGGGGCCTCTGCCAAGGCGATCCTCTCTCCCCATACCTCTTCATCATCGTGGCTGATGTTTTGTCCAAGCTTATTTCTCAGAGCTTGCGGAATAGAGAGATTTCTGGTTTCAAGATTACACAGTTGTGTTCTACCCTATCGCACTTGTTCTTCGTTGATGATATGATGCTTTTCTTGAAAGCTAAGGACATGGAATGTCAAAAAATTCTGGATCTCTTGAGGGTGAATTGCGAGGCTTTGCGTCAGATGGTAAACTTTAATAAATCCAGTGTGTAGTTTTCGCCAAATGTTGCCCCTGCCGTTTGTGATTCTATCTGTTCTCTCTTCGGCTTCAAAATTTCTTCTCCTCATGTGAAGTATTTGGGCTTGCCTTCTTTCTGGGGACGATCTAAAACAGCAGCTTTTGAGTTCATTATTGAGAAAGTCATCTCCAAGCTTCAGGGATGGAAACAAAAATTATTATCACAAGTTGGAAGAGAAATTCTAATCAAAGTTGTAGTTCAAGCTATTCTATCATATGCCATGGCGTGTTTTGCTTTTCCTAAACAATTCTGTGCAAAACTCAATTCCTACATAAGTAACTTTTGGTGGGGAGGAAACCCAGACAACAAAGGCATCTATTGAATCATTCGGGATCAGCTAGCTCTGTCCAAGTTTCAAGGAAAGCTTGGATTCCGTGATTTTCAAGCGTTTAATTCAGCACTTCTTGCCCGTCAGGGATGGCGATTGGTGAAATATCCTAATTCCTTTTGTGCTCGCATTTTGAAAGGCATCTATTTTCCCTGCACAGACTTTATGCATGTTACTAAAGGCAGGCGAGCTTCATGGGGATGGGCAAGTCATTTTCAAGGGCGCCAACTCTTACAGCAAGGAATTAGGTGGCAAATTAACAGCGGCTCGCATGCTTTGTTTTGGGAGGATTGTTGGGTTTTGGGTCTCCCAGATTTCAAAATTTACTCATCTAAACCCGTTGGGACTGAGGTAGTTAAAGTTAAGGATGTTATTGATCATATTCATAAGAGTTGGAATTTGAACTTATTACGTACTCAAGTGTCGGAGCCTAAAGTTCAAGCAATCAGTTCTATTCCCGTCTCGCTAGCACCAACCGAAGATTATCTTATCTGGCATTTCGAATCAACAGGTCACTGTACTGTGAAATCTGGGTACCATGTCACCAAGTCAGGAAATTCTGGGTCTACTGGCCACACCCCATCTTCTTCATTTCAGGTTCCGAGCTCCTTTTGGAAGCAAATTTGGAGGTTGAAGGTTCCCCAAAAAATTCGTCACTTTTGGTGATGGGTGTGTTGAAATGTGCTTGCATCAAGGGAGAATTTGTTTAGACGAAAGTGTGCTTATTCCTCAACATGCCAACTTTGCCATAAGGCATTGGAAATTGTGGAACATGTTCGCTTTGGCTGTGAGTGGGTTCGTCCAGTTTGGTTTGGTAGCACTCTCAACTATAGAGTAGATTAGGGTGCAATTCACTCGGTACTACAGTGGTCTAGTGTCATGATGGACATCCTTGGAAATGATGAGGACCGTAATTCTTTCTTCAGTACGATGGCATGGATTGGCTGGTATATTTGGAAAGAACGTAACAATTTTGCTTTCAATCATCTCCTGTTGAGCCCTCCTCGACTCTATATCGAGCTAGAGTGGCTATGGCTGAATTTGAAGCGGTGGTCTCTCTTCAAGTTGCAGGTCATTCTCAACAACCTCCTCAGATCGCTGCTGCAACGAATAGATGGGAACCTCCTGACCATGGTTTTTACAAAGTCAACTGTGATGTGGCAGTTCTACAAGGATCTTCTCGTGTAACAATTGCGACAATGCTAAGGGATAAGAACGGTCATCTGGTAAACGGCCTCACAAAGAAGTTGTGTATTTCTTCACCTTTCCAAGGGGAGGCTCAGGCTTGCTGTTTGGCCTGTCTTCTTGTCCACCAGTTCAATTTGTTAGATGTTCTGGTTGAAGGGGATAACAAAGTCGTGATCTATTTTTGTGTTACCGAAACAGTTCCTCCATGGGAATGTGGAGCAATTCTTAGTGACATCAAGCTTTTGGTGTCCCAAGGCAGGTTCTCCTTTCAGTGGAGGCCCAGGGTTTCGAATAAAGTGGCACATTGGGTAGCACAGGCGTGCCTTCATGATCAACTCCCTGTAGATTGGGTGTCTAATCCTTCTTCTCCCCTGCTTTGTTTTTTGGCAGCTTCTTAGTTTTGGTTGTAATGATTTCCTCTATTAAAAAGGAAAAAGAAAAAAAAGTAGATAAAGTTTACGTGTTGTGTGTTTGTGTTGCTCTCTTCTAACTACTTAGATTAGATTAATATGAATGAAAAAACTTTATATATAATTCAAATTGTAGTCATTTTAGTTTTTTTCTTAGGGGGTGTTTGGGAAGTTGGGTTGGGCTATTTTTTTTGGCTAAAATAGTCAATAAAGACAAAATAGACTAAAATAGTCAATAAAATAAAATGTCATATTTAAACTATAATCATTTCATTTTTTCTCTCTATGTTGGCTTTTTGGCTTTCGAAGGTTATTATTGTAATTGCGAGCGTGCCAGCAAAGATCAATTTAGTCCTTACAGAAATTTAATTGCCAACCAATTATCAGACGACTGTGTTTTAGTTCTCTCAACCTCAATGACGAGGACTTTTACTGGTGGCTTGATTTAGGAGAATTTAAACAGAATACCAATCAAATAAAGAAAATCTGAAACATTTCACTAGAATGAAAAACTTACAATGATTCGAAGCGACAATCTATTTGAAACTACTCCTATGAATGAAAATGCAGTGCAGAATTTGAAGTACTGGAATGTAAAGAACAGGGTATGCAAAAGTAAAGTAAAATAAGACTTATTTTTTAGATCTGAGTCCGGGGGCTTTTTCCAGGGCCTTCTCTGCTATTTATACTGCTCAAAGATGACAGTCGAACTGAATTTCCAACCGTCGAATTGCTCCCCCATGATCGTTGATTATGTAGCCTCAAGATTAGCTCCACTATGCCATCATTTGCAGTTAAGCTTCCCTCATAAATTTGAATTTAAATAAGAGTAACCGCTGATACCACATCACCTTGCATCTCTTTGTTGATCCACTGCTACTCAGATCTCATAACAACCAATATCAACTGCCACGTGTACGATTAGGATCGAAGACTTGAATGGTCTCCCCATATTACCCTTACTTTGCCACGCGTTGAATTGTAACTGGCTTGTACAAAATATGCAGCCAACATTACCCCCCGCACTAATATACCCAAGACTTTGTGATATTAGTGGATCAGGGTCTTTTTCCCACGTCTTAGAAAGTGCATGGGTTTTGCATCTTCCCAGAAATGCAACTGTCACTCACCATCTGTATTAAACTCTCATTTAATCCTTTGAACACTTCCACTGTCTTCGAACAGACTGATACATTTCATGGCCGAATTAATTTTTTCCTCTAACAATCGAGCACACGAAAAGTCATATGTCGATGTTGTTCCTCCTCGAAAGAACGTCCATGCATTTATTAGCCACCTTTACCCATCTTTCTATATTCAGGTCATGGATGCCTTTGCAAATTATCAATCCTTGGACTTTGAACATATTGCCCTTAATCCTTCGGTCTAGAAACTCACAAATATGGACATGGGAGGTTCTTCTTCTGTCTCACCCTTGGACTACGAACAAATAGCTCTCAATCCTTTAATTCAGAAAGTTGAAAATATGGACATGGGAAATTCTTTTTCACAATCCTCCGCATGGGACAAGGCTACGACTTCTTCATCTTCTGGTGCTTCCGACTGGACAAGTTGGTCAAAGCCTGAGTCTTGTGATTTGAGGGAACGAATTAACCATCACTTTGTCGAATTTACTGACCCTTTGGAGTTCCCTTCTTATGCACGAAGCTCGGTGGTCTATCCTTACGTGCCCATTGACTATCGACGCAGTTTGGAGGAGAATCTGCTTGTGGCATGGTATACATCCTCCATGCCTACAAAGATAGTGCACGCCACCCGACGCCTAGAAGAGGCACAAGGGTACAATCCATCATTCTTAGCCCAGACGGCGAAGATTTGTTCTTTTGACTGGCTTGATTATATTAATGCCCTTGTTCCTTCTACCCTTGTTCCACCTCCTGAAATAAAAGCATCCACACCTTCTCCCCTGCCCAATCCTCGTTGGATAGAGAGATTAAGGCTTGCCCTTTCTGTAGATAAGATCTTTCCACCTTACAAGCCTCCATCTTCCCCCACTCCTGTTGAACGGAAACAAGCACTACTTCTGCTCGCGGCTTTTTCTCATTTGCCCTTCAATGTTCTTGAGGATGAAGTTCTTCTCAAGAACCTTCGATGGGCTTGTGATATTCTGACTCGGGGTCATGTTCTCAATCCCCTTGCCCAAACAGAACATTACATGTTTTTGGACCAGCTTCCGTTGCTTCTCCACTGGCATCGGACCTCTATGGCCACTACACGATCTTTAGACCAACTTTCGTCCCTTCGAATTCACGCCCAGTACGAAGTCGAGAACTTCATTGAAGAAAGAACAAAGATTCTGCGTACTAGGATGACTTAGAGATGGACGAATTGGAACAAGGATTTAGAAAAACAGCTTTCGAAATAAAGGCTGAAGAACTCTTTTACGAAGTGAGAGCTCATCAACTCATGCAGCCAATGTTAGAAGAAATAGAGGACAGAATAAAGAAAGAACAGAAATTCATTGATTATAGCTGGACTAAATTTCATGATCTTGTTATTTATTCCATTCCTTATTTTTATGAGCTTGAGTTTGTACCCAAATAGGGCCATTCGATGTAACTGCTTTTGCTTTAATACAAGACTTCTCTTTGTTTGATATGGTTTGATCTTGTCTCTATTTGTCTTTAAAAGCAATTTCAGAGCTTCGAACTGAACAATCTTTTCCTTCGAACCTGGATTCGATCGTTTAAAATGAATACTAACAACACGACCATGAACTTTTCCAATTTAGGGAATGCAGATTAATCAGTTCTAAATTGATCTTTTCGTTTTGAACAACAGTCCACATTTTCAAAAATATGGAAGCTCCTTTTGAGGGTTGCACTGTTTTAGTTCAAAAAGTCAACTTTTCTGAATATATATATAAACCAATTATGGGTTTCGATGTTTCGATTGCCAATTTCCCTTCCCAAGGAATTTCTAATTTTATTTTGAAGAACATCATTGTCATTGAGAAACCTAAAACAGGTATTTAGTCCTTTTGAAGTAAAAGAATACTTGAGCATTCTTGTGTCCATTGAGTACGGAATGCGCTTCGAAGCCGGCTCTTAGTTTCGAAGCCGTTGTTATTGGACTTTTGGCGCCAAAATCTAGTGTGTTATGTTTTGAACACCAATTTCCATCCTCACGGGGTCTCAAGTTTCACTTCGAAGGTCATCGTTTTCATTAAGAAGTCCAAAACAGGTCTTTAATCCCCTTCTAAGTAAATGAATATTTGAGTATTCTTACATTCTTAAGCATGGAATGTGCTTCGAAGCTGGCTTCTTAGTTTCGAAGCAGTTGTTATTTGACTTTTGGCGCCAAAATCTGGCTTCAAAGCCAAACATTCTACTTCGAAGCTGGTATCAACATCTGGGATATGTTTTTTTCCTCCAAGAGTATCAATATTGAAGGAAATCCTTCGTATTCGTACTTTTAGTACTTAACAAATTTACGCGATGTATCTTTCAGATATAAAGACTTTTGAAATCCTTTTATTCCACATTCTGAAATCACTTGCTCGTTCAACATACAAAATCCTTCACCTCTATTCGTCTCCCACTTCTTTCTACTCCCTTTTTCATCTTCGTCCTTTGAGAAAGCGTTTTATCAATGGCTTCCTCCTCATTGAAAGTGCCAGTTGTAGAGCGTGCGAGCCCATCTGTAGCCCTAAAAGGCTTATTGATGCAGAATGTGAAAAGTACAAAGCTGGGGAGAAAAGTGCTATTGACGGACGCATCTTCATTCCTCGTCGTCATGCGCAACAAGACTATGTGTTTGGTCCCATAGTCAAGGAGATTCCTATTGAGCTTCCAGCTCTATACCCTCGTCTGGAAGACCATTGTCTCTTTTACGCAGGTGGTCTTGACTGGAGGAATTGGAAGATGAATCGTCCCCACTGATGCTGGCCCACGGTGTGACCGGAGTGGCAATAATGGTATGATCGAGTTGTCCCTAGTAGGACCCTGGACGTTCAAGAACTCTGCCTCCTCGATGCCCTTCGGTTATCCAGGTTAACCATTTCAGAAGACCCCTTTTTAGTTCTTGCTACTCTGTTCTTTTGGAATTCTGTTTTTAATTTCTTCCAATTCAGATGTGGGATGATGGCGCCTACTGTGCTTGACATTTGCCATCTTTTAGGATTATCTCCCATTGGAACTCTCATTGGACTAGATTATCCTGACCTAGTAGTCCCTTTTTCCCTTCCCTCTCTTAACTCATCCTATAGTGACTTTGTCAAGGCTGAGAATAGAAGGGAGGGTCTTGTGACTGATAGGGAATTCTTTTCTTTCTTATTATATTGGCTTTACAAGTTCCTTTTCTACACTTCTTCTCAAAGAATTATGCCCGAATTTGCCCTTCTTGCCAAAGCCTTTGTTTTACAGAAAATGGTGGCTTTAGCCCCATACGTTCTAGGTCACGTATACAGAGCCTGCTCTCTTTTTTGTGAGAAACCCTTAGATGTCAATCAAGGGGGACTGATTTGGATTCTTCAGCTTTGGCTTTTTGCTTGTTTTCCCGAGTTACAATCCAAATGCCTTAAATTTTTTGAACCAGACCCTCCTACTCATGGCATGAGGCTAGCCAATGCTTCTCTTTATCCTTCTACTTTTGCTTTTTACTTCTCTTTCTTCCACCAACTTTCAGCTTCTCCTCTTTCCTACTGCTTTTGTCCCTTCAAACCTACTACTATTGGCCCACTTTGGTTGAAAAATTTCCTAAGTGATAGGCTCTGTGCTTCACCTATTCACAAGGATATATGGGCCTCCATTTTAATTCCCAGAGAATTATTCATTGGGACCATGAACCCCAGAGCTTACAAATGCATTGCTGAGCCCTATTGTCCTGCACAATTTGCTAGACAATTTGGCTTTACTCAGGGGGTCCTAATACCTCTCTGTAGTAACACCAATCTAAGTCTTACCACAAGGGATGTGAAAGTTCGAAGGTCCAGACTGGAAGAGGCAACTTCCAAATTTATACAGGACTTGATCGATTTTGAGTATATCCCCTTCCTTCCCCAAGGTAACATTTTGAAGAGATACCAAAATTGGTGGGTGACCAATATGGAAGTGCACCTGGCCATTCCCC